AGCTGCCTGGTTATCAACAGTAGAACTGAAATGTGGAGTTGGGATCTAAATTTTGGATGAGATATCCTTTTTTTTTTTTGCAGGTCAGGTCACAAAACATTAATACAAGGTATTGTGGAGCAGGATTTCTGCTCCTATCATATCTCAACATCAATACTTGAGGTAGATGTTTAGGAAGCTCCAATATCCCAGCCCTGTTCTCAGAACATCTTCCCATAAGGCAGAATCCCAATGTATCTTGTTAGAAAAATGAACAGAACAGGATGTTTTATAAAATCCAAACTGTACCAACTGTACCAGATCATTGTAATTTGGAGAACATCACAGGCATGATTCCATGTCTCAATGCACTGTTAGTGTCTCTCTTTGTATGAGGTTTTACCATAATCTGTGATGGACTAAACTTTTTTTTTTTTTTGCCATGGCAACCTCACTATGGTGATTTCAGGGTTAGGGAACTTTATATTTATCTTGACCAGCATGAGGAAGTCTGAGCCTCATTAACTGAGGAAGGTGGATGGATAGCATATGGAACACACCTCACACGAGACGGTGCTTCCCTTCCCAGGGCAACTGGGTCATTTGTATTATCTACATGAGCTCCGATTTTCCTTTTGGAAATACTGAGTTGCTAACTGCTCTCTCTGTCCCAAGGGAAGAAAATCCAGACAGATGGCTTCAGAGAAACCTTGCATCTTTAAGGGAAGATATCCTCCTGGAGCAATAATTAATGCTGGTGGGACATTTTTTTCTTTCTTTTTTTTTTGTTTTTTTTTTGAGAAACTTGGAAAGAATTCAGTATCACCAGAGGGCATTAACACAGAGCCTTGCAGAGGACAGAAAAAGATAAAGAGGGGAAAAAATAGCTAGCACAAAGCAGTGATCCTATTAAAATGACATTGAAGAATTCTATTAGTGCTCTTTGCCCCCTCGCCTGCTGCCTTCGAAGATTCGAGGCGAAACACAAGTGCTTGTCAGTCAGACAAAGCCTACTAATAATCTCTGCTAAAAGGTGACATTCACAGACTGCAGAGGGACACATAGGGCTCCAGGCTCTGGGCTGACCACGTCAAGAGGCTGCTGGCAGAAACCCGTATCTGGCTGTGGGTGCCAGCAGCCCAGGCTGGAGGCAGAGGATGGTGGGGCAGACGTGGGTTAGGGCTGCTCACCACCCTGAGGCTCAGCAGCTCTGCCCTGTGCCACTATTGTCTCCACAGGAAAGGAGCCTGGCATTATGCAGGCTTTTATGGAGCACTGGGCAAGTGGGGTGAACTTCATCCTCATTCTACCATAGCTGAAACACCTTTCTCTGCTGCTTTGCAAGGGTCTCTGGTAAAACCTCATCCCTATTCAAATGGCACTGTTTTGAGCTTTGGATGTGTCGACTTATTGTTGATTGGTGACTTTGGGAACCAGGAAAACTGAGACTAAGGGTTGCTCTCTGCCAAAGATCACTGGTAAAACACAAGAACTCATTCCTCACTAGCAGCTAAACCTCCTTCTTTTAACTTCCTGAACCTCTTCTGCCGGTACATTTCAGCAAATATTTGTTTATGTAAGAGTATCTAGTGCACCATGCACAGGATTAAGAATGTTTTCTTTTCCTAGACACATTCAAATTAAATCTTGATTTCTATTAATTTCTCTCTCACACAGTCTTTTTAGTAATAAAGTCTGCTTGGATGAGGATCAAAGGGATAGTTTATTTCTCTTTGTGAAAAAGTAGGTTCTCTGGAAATAACTGAATGTACCACAGAAAACTCATACACTATCTTGTCTGTTTTACTCAGCAGAGATAATGCCTCAGCTGGAGTACTTTGTGTAGCACTGGGCACTGCATCCCAGAGAGATACAGCCTAGCTGGAGTGAATCCAGAAGGGATGCAGGAAGGATCAGAGGGCTTGAAATCATGACCTACCAGAAAGAATTACTCCATTTGGGCTGCTTTTCTTAAAGGAAAGAAGATTAAGGATGGGGGAAGGGAGAATGATAATATTCCTCAAATATGCAAAAGACTGCTGCTGAGAGAAGAGGAAAAAAAATTTTCTCCCTTGTGAAAAGCAAAAGAAATAATAGGTTCATATTGCAGCAAGAATAACTTAAGTTAGGCATTACGTAAAAGCTCTCTAACAGGATGGAAAATGAAGCACTAGACAGGATCATCTGGGGAGACATGCCACAGACCTCACTGGGAGTCTTTAAAACCAAATTAAGTAACTGTTCCTCTTGGACAAAGGAAAGGAACAGATGACTTCGGGAGTTATAGGCATTATTATTAATTTGACATTTTATAGGAAAGTAATTCACCTGGAAATTCAGCTACTGGTAAAGTGGCAAGTTTAAAAAGAAAATAATAAACTTTTTATTAATGCTTTTCTATAGCTTAGAAACTTTAAAAATCATCCTTTCAAGATTTACTGGGCACATCTTATTAAAACATTAAAAGGTAACACAAAAACGGCAGCACATAAAGGGGAGACTTTGTATGTTTCGGATGCACTTGGCATTTCTGAGCCACTGATGTACCGAGGGGCACTTGGAGCAGTGTTGCTCTCCAGAAAGCTCACCTCTTTCCAGATCATCCAAGTGAGGAAGGCAGATTTCCTGCCTTCTTCAGGGAGCCTGGAACTGCCAAAGGTGGTGTGGAGAGTATTATCGGGGCAATCCAGAAAGGAGAGTTACACCTGCTCTAAATGGTGGCTAAGCACTGAGCTGGAATGTCAGAGGATAGAAATGGAAAGAGGTGATAAGAAGATTGCCAAGTTGGCCCCTGCAGCTGAAAACATCCTGGCAAAAGTCCTCCCCTGCTTCTCTGCTGCAACCTCTCAATCACTCTTGGTACAGCCCTTGTAATGCTCTGCCAAATAGGATTACACTCCAGCAGAGGGAGAATTTACACATTCCATAGGACTTGATGACATAGCAATTGATAAGGGCATGCCACTGTATTAACTGGAAAAAAATCCATATCTATTAGGGGCTGGCTGGGTAAGAAAGGAGAGTTACATCCCCCTGCTTGGTTTCAAGCCCAAGCAACCTTTGTCTGTGTGCAGGGAGAGTCTCCTTGCGAGCCTTGTGCTTGTTAGAATTTAATTGCTTGCTGGTTGTGCTGCTGGCGAACTGGTGCAAATAGAGATGATCCCTCATTAATGCAGAAGCTTACATGAGGCCAGCTCCAAGGAATAATTGCAGTCGTGTCTAAACACTCTCTGGTCCAAGTTTCCTTAAACCAGAACGGCATTTTATTAACATATCTGAACAGAAGGAAAACTCAGAATTAAATCGGTCTGGTAACTGTTTCCTCACCCTCTAGATACTTTTCAAAGTAGTTCTTTTGAGCTTGTCTTAGAGGATATTTGTGTTCTGGAACTGCTTAGAAATCCATTTGGAAACACATCACCAGGCAAGAGGTCAAGGGGCCAATAGCCACTATTAATTGACTTGCAGCCAGGCAGGAGAAGAAACGCTGCCCTTCAGCCTGGCTGGGATGGAGACAGTGCAGCACAGCAGTAAACAGCTGCAAAGAGCCGTCAGGGATGGAGAAAGCTACACCTACCTTTTGCATTTTGAGCCTTGTGTGGAGAAAAAATGTGAAAAGCAAATGAGAAAACTCCACTTGCAGGAAGATACACGTGGATTTCTTCTCTTCCTCTTCTGAAGCTGAACACGTCAGTCCTCTTTCGCACGCGACGCGAGCTGCATGTTGAGACACCTTGTGATTATAAACTCTCCTCAGCAAAATTACTGAGGGTCAAGGAATCTGGGGACTCGTGGGGTGACGTGATTGGCAGGACAATTAGGTCTGGACTGTGTTCTTTCATTTCTACTGGAAACTTGGTGTAATTACAGCTCCTGCCTCTGGCCTGTGCGATGCCAGAGGTTGGATGAGGTGATCAGAATCCTCCCTCTGGCCGTAAAATCTATTAACCTTGCTTTGCACTGCACATGGCTCAGGCACACAGAAATTCAATACCTGTCCACCATCTGAAAGCTCTCTTGTCAATGAGGGAGAAATAGAAGTACTGAGGTGAGCAGGGTTTCTCTCCGTTTTCTTCCATTGAAATTGCTGGAAAGGAGCTCTCAGGTGAGGGAAGCAGGGCTGTGTTTTGGAGGCTCTAGGACAAGACTTGGGAGGAGTGAGCCCCTCAGCTGGGGTGCTCTGCAGACCTGCTTGGCAAGTGATGGATATAGGGATCCCCATGCTCACTGAAGGTGCTGCTTCCTTGTTTAAAGGGGATGGAAAAGGAAAATCTGGTGGGGATTTGCTACCCTCTCTTATAAAAGGAATGCTCTTGAGTACAGGAAAATAGGCTGTCCCAGAAACAGGCCAGAAAATCACCATACTCCAGAGACTGTAATCTTTATTTTTGCACATACAGGGCAGAAGGATTTTTTGAGCGAGGATCCTGCTTATTTACCAGCTTTCTGAGAGAGTAGTTTTTGGAGAAAGGGGCTAGTGAGACTTTCTAGTTAGTTTGGTAATCTGCCTTAACAAATGGGAGATTCATCTGCCTTAAGTTTGGTATCTAAAGGCTGAAGTGTTCAAGCCTGGGCCAGCCAGACTTTTACTCCCTTTCTAGGAAAAACAGAAGAAGAGATGGCAAAGACAGGAAAGACTACTGACCCTCTGGAGATGCCCATTTCCCTGTATCAGCTACACAGGGAGCCTGGGGTGACCACTTCAGGCTTCAACACCTAACTTTCAGGAATCCAAGGTTAGGTAAGATACAGAGTAGCCATCAGAGTAAAACTGTCATGCCTTTCACAGATGATATTAATGTCATTAGAGAAAAAAAGTGCCACTGAGTGATCAATCCTTAGCTTAACTAGCTCCAAGCTATAAAGTCAGACAGCTCCAGCTGGAGGCCAAATCCAGCCTGTGGGCTGACTCCATCTGTCTTATTGTGCCTCTGCCGTGACTGGGTGGTGGGATGGGAGGTGATGGGGAGCAGCTGTTTGCACCCTGGGGGAAGTCCTGCGGTTCCTCCTGTTTCTACTGTGCTTAAGTGCAGCCAAACCCTCAGCTCAGGGAGGTGCTGTGTCCACATGGCCTGCGAGGGGAGGCTCCAAATGGGCCTCTGGGCTCCAGGAACACAAAACAAAGCTTGGACCACCCTGTGAATTAAGTCATTCTTCCTGGCCAGAAAGAGACTTAGGAAAGTAAACATCTTGAAGCTTGTATTGCACAGCTCTTCTTTCAAAAGTCCAAATTAAGTGCTTGGATGTGCAGCCTGTGCTGAGAGGTAGCATTTGTGTGGCTGGGGTTCTTGCAATTTCCTTTGGAGGAATTTTCACAAAGAAAACAGAAGTTTGTGTTTTCTGACATTTGCTTTAACCAAAAGGCATTGTGAGGACTTTTACAGAATACCAATTATCCTCACAGGTTAGTGAGTGAGAGCTATGTACTTCATGTTGGCTGAGGTCACTGCACAGCAGGAAAAAGAATCAGAGCTATTCACAAACAGCCTATCCCAGAGCTGCAAATCTGATTTCTCCACTTTAGCTAGATGAGGGTTGTTAGCAGAAGTAGCATCTCTCCTTACATTCACTGATTCAGTTAGAAAAGAGTAGATTAGTTGTTGGGCTGTGATCAAGGTCTGAAACAGAACCTGGCAACCAGAAGAAGAGCTTCTGTTCCCTGGGGCTCATCTGGGCTAATTATTTTTTTTTTCCCCAGCTACATCAGCCAATCTAGGAAGAAATATTACCTCACTATTAACGATGACTTACATTTATCTCTGACAATCACAGCTATTGCAACATTGCTCTTAATTCCTATCATTATTCAAAAATTGCAAGGCTCAGAAGCCTCTAAAAATACTCTTTGTGCCTTTGTGTTTGTCAACAGCTTTATGTGCTTATGTTTTGCAGGTGATGCTGTTCATGCCTGGGAAACTGGTACCATGAGACAGGTTGTGCTCTTGGGTGGCCAGAGAAAACCTATCTGCCCCATGCTGGGCTCAGGGAGATCTGGGTGCTCCAACTGGTCCGAGTATGGCTCAGAGGTGAGGTTTTATCAAAGCAAAGCAATCCTTTATCTCAGAGAATCCTTTCCCTAAGATTCCTCTGTCTTGAGAAAGCTGTGGAGCAAAACAAAGCCTTTCCTCCGTAGGTACCACGCAACAAGCACACCTGACTGGCAGCGGATGGACACCCGCAGCACAAAGCAAGAGGACAAGAGGGATTTCCTGAAGCAAATCCAGGACTTGCTGAGAGACAGACACCACCACTCTGAGCTATAGGAGGGACAGAGCATCTCCTATGACTGTTTTCTGAGTGGATCATTGAAAGCATGAATGAGCATTGTAATGTTATAGCACATCTTTTCAGTGGCGTGGAGCACAAAAATCCTATTTTCATATGGCAGTAATATGCAGTGTTTAACAAAAATATATAAAGTAAAGAAATTCAAGGTAAATTGGAGAGATTTACTCTAAATTTTTACTCATGCTATCTCTAATTCAGCAGACAGGTTTTCTGCTCCTCTCTCTAGTATGAAACAAAGGGTATATCTCTAATATCTCTAAAGCTGTACAGAACAGAATTTAGCCACCTACACAGCTTTAATCAAACATCTTTCACTACTTGAAAAGGGAATTTATCGAGGTAACAGCTTTTAAATTGACCACACTAGTGTTTCTGGGATAAGCCCTCCATCATTTCTTGGTATTTGTCTCCATCTGCCACATTAACCTTCCTCTGATTTCTCTCCTAAATGTCGGTTCAGCAGGGTCAGAGGCAGCCACAACGTGGCCAGGAGGACTCTGATGTGGTGCAGCTCTTTCCTCATTACCTGATTTGGCACACATTCGTGTAGCAGCTGAGACTGCTGCTCCTGAAACTTCCCCAGTTAGTTTGTCCCTTAAACAGAAGAACAGTGAAAAATGTCACTCTTCTTGATGAATACAGTTCTGCCACAGATGATCAAAGTCCCAGTCCTGTAACTCCTCAGTAGTGTGTATCATCACTCTCTTTAACATTTCTATTGCTCTACACCACAACTATGTAGGCAATGTCTGTGCTGCAAACAAAAGAGGGTTAGGTACCAATGCCTTATCCTAAAGTCAAGTGGCTTATTTGGTACAGCTCCTGTATAAATATGTATTTCCCATGCTGCAAGACTACTTACTTCAGTTTACAGAAGCTGAAGGAGAGAGTATCTGCTGTCTTTTCTAAATTTCAGTCCGTGTAGTCCTTAGCTCTAAGTTGTTTGAAGCATAGTGTATAGATGTAGCATGTAAAATGAAACTTCTCATCAAACTCTTTATTGAAATAGTAGATTTTAATGCTAGGAAGAGTTCATGCTCAATTAATGGTAGCCTTGACTCAAAACAATATTTAGGAAGTACATACAGGCACATGCATATGCATGCACACACTACCTGCTCCTCTTTCTTAAGTTCTCTGGTCACTACATGTAAAGTGGAATCCTTATTTCTTTAAATAACTCATTTCTTCCTCTTTCAATGAACTTACTCATGCTCTTTGAACTTCAAGGTAGAAAAATCAAAAGCAGTCACTGTGTCTCTTAGGAGTTCTTGACCTACTTTGTACTGATCAGTTCTCATCTCCTACAGAAATGTGGAAACTGTGTCAGAAGGATTTACACAATAAGATGTTGAGAATGTTTCTTCTTTTAACTTTATGCATTTCAAGGAAGAGAACCTGAATGCAATATGCACAATCTTTAATACAATTGTGGGAAAAATGTCCATGCAACAGATAATGTAAAAGATCTTCTGTGGGCTCAATGAATTGTCTTGTGTAATTCAGAAAAGAGTCTTTGCATTCTTTCATGTTGGCAATAAAATCAGAACTATTGTAGAATGATTTTGTTGGCAGAAAAAGGGGAAATTTGAAAACTTGGGGGAAGAAGGTAAAGCAAAATATTTTCTCACTTGAAGATAAAGTTCCACTAATCAGTCACTGATCAATGGTGTGGGATAAAGGCTCATAATAAATGTAATGATCTATTATGAACAGAGGAGTTCATATTTTTTAAATGTTGCCAAATAATCAATGATCTGGTTGGACTACGCACCCCTCAACCTGTCAAATGCCCATTAATTAAATCAGCAGTCCAGGACACTGATACACAGAGATTGGGACAAATTAGGTTTCATTGTGAGATATACCTTGAATTCTCTCCAAAACAAAGAAGGAAAACTAGCTACCTTCACAGCCTTTTTCTGTCCCCATTCCTCATTCTCTGCCTGGGACTTCCATAGCAATAGGAATTTCTCCCCCTGGCAGGCTCTGAGGACCACATCTAGGAATGCCACACAGTAAGAAATTACAGTCACACAAAACTTTGGCACGGTGAATATACAACCTGCTGGAGAAGTAGCATCCTGCAGTAATCAGAAGGAGTTTTTGTTAATGTCTTCAGGGGCTTTTCCCATTAGGGGTCAGCTGCATGGTTGTCATTGTGCTCTCATACACAAGTTGGTCACAACTGTCAGTGCTGGTCATTCCTGTAAGGCCCATTAGGTTCTGTGCTAAAACATACAGCAAACAACAATTAGTCCACTTGTTGCTTGGAAATACCCTTGTTTCTGGCAGCAAACACTTCTCTACATGGATAAGTGTAGAGAGTGTATTGAATTGCCATTAAAACATCACCAGCTTTTTTGAATACAAAGGATTTAGATTTTGACACATCCGTTAAGAGGTTCAGTATCTTTTTGTGCCAGTATCTCTGTGACCATGTGTGTGTTGTATTCATGTATGCACATGCACGTGTGTTTTTTCACAAGCTTTTACTGTGGAAACTGAACAGCTGTATCTCTGTGTTCAGCACTTTGTGGGGACAAAAGCAAGGCAAACCTGCATCATTATTGTAATGCCTCCAGTTCAAGGGCAGAGCTTTTCTCAAACCGTATCGGAGAAAGCCTGCCTGTAGGAGAAAAACTGATTTACAGGATGTTGGATCCTTCAGTGACAATTGACTTAAAGCTACAGAGGCATCAGCATTGTCAGACAAGCGTGCGGCACCAAATGCTCTCCTCAGCACCACACCTTCTGTTCCCAGAGCTGCTACCGAGGTTTGATTTGGATCTTGCTCCTTTCTGCAATGTTTTTCTCCAATTTGGATGTGAAATGTAGGGATGAGAGGGTCTACGCCATGCTTACCGAGTTGCTTGCCATGAGCTCCTTCAGACTGCTGGAGGTGGATGCCACACTAGGAATGGAAGTGTGTGGCCCAGGTTGATCTTCCTCCCAGCTGGCATGATGCCCTCTCCTGCCCTTCAGGCAGTCTGCTCAACTGCCTCCTGGAAAGACCATGAGCTGCTTCTCTGGAAGAAAAAAAGGGTGTGATAGGCAACTTCCATTTAAACCTGGCTTGTGGGAATGATTCGTGTCATCATGATGTGCTAAATACAGACAGACATATTCCCGTGCACGCAGTTGAATGCATCACACCTCTGTGTTGTTCTGAGCACAGCTATTAAAATAAGGGGAGTCTGAGAGACACTCTACATTATATATTAAAGCTACAGCTTGCTAGAGCCATTTCCTCTCCATTTTGTGCATGTACCAGCAGTAACCAGGTAACAGTAAACTGATTTACATTCCAGGAAGATTATCCGCAGTGATGTGCTCCATTAAATGGGCGGACGGTGGCTTACATTTCATAATGCATAGTGACATACTGGAAATGAAAGTGACAAAAATTATAGATAGCTCTTTGGCTGAAGATGTGAAAGAAAAGGCATGGAGAAGAGAGGCCCAGGGGCTTGCTTCTGCAAAATGCCAATCCAGGCTGTAACATACCTGCTCAGGGGTCAGGTGCAAAGGATTGTAGTAAATGGGGCTACATCAGGCTTCTGACTGGTCAAGTGGGATTCCATCTTGGGCCCAGTTCTCTTCAACATCTTCATAAATTACTTGGATGCAGGACTCAAAGGGTTAGTAAGTAAGTAGGCCTATGATACTATACTGGGAGGAGCTGTCGACAGATTAGAGGGCTGGGCAATCTCCAGCCACATGAAATTTAGCAATGACAAGTTCTGGATCCTGCTCCCACCGTGGGGCAACTCTGGATGTGCAGTCAGATTGGGAAACAAGAGGCTGGACAGCAGTGCCATGGAAAGGGACCCGGGGGTCAATGGCAAGTTGAGCATGAGCCAGCAGTGCCCTGGCAGCCAGGAGGGCCAACCTGTCCTGGGGGCATCAGGCACAGCATGGCCAGCTGGGCAAGGGAGGGGATTGTCCTGCTCTGCTCTGAGCTGGGACAGCCTCACCTCGAGTGCTGGGGACAGTTCTGGGTGCCACAATAAAAGAAGGATATAAGGCTATTAAAGAATGTCAAAGGAGGGCTGTGGAGATGGTGAAGGGCCTTGAGGGGAAGGCACATGAGGAATGACTGAGGTCAGTTTCTTTGTTCAGCTTGGAGAAGACTGAAGGGAGACTTCATTACAGTCCTATGTGGTGAAAGAGGCAAGAGGAAATACAGACATTGATTTCTTCTCTGTGGGGACCAGCAACAGGACACAAAGGAATGGCCTGAAGTTGTGTCAAAGGAGGTTCAGGTTGGATACCAGAAAAAGGTTCCTCACTCAGAGAGTGACTGGGCACTGGAACAGGCTCCCCAGGGAAGTGGTCACAGGACCAGTCTGACAGAGTGAAAAAGACATTTAGACAATGCTCTCAGGCACATGGTGGGACTCTTGGGGATGGTTTTGTGCAGGGCCAGGAGTTGGACATGATGATCCTTGTGGGTTCCTTCCAGCTCAGGATGTTCTGTGATTCTGAGTGCTCCATTTTCCACTCAAGGTGTGTGAAAGGAGGGCACTGAGCCCCTCAGAGTAGTGCAGGATGGAGCTTCCATTTGGAAAGTAAATATTTATTTCTTTACAAACACAATCCTCTGCAACTTTTTTTTTTTTTTTTATGAAGGAGCATCTATGAATATGTGTATGTAGGTGTTTATTTGAGGATTTAGCTCAGCATAGGACTAGTTTGGAAAACAAGCCATTACTGACCCCAAAAATCAGGAAGACAAGCAATGAAGACTGAAATGGATGGAACAAATAGAAATTGTGAAAAGAATCTCAGATGCCTGAGATTTTTATTAGACTACATTTTTTTTTAAGCCACAGGACACTTGAATACAGATAAATACTCAAACTGGGTCAGCTCACAAGCATTCAGCAACTCCATATATTTCCTTGACTGCTCCTTGGGTCACAGATTCTAACGCTCCACAGTTAAATAAATAAATAAATAAATAAATAGGGCCATCATTTGTGTGTCCATGTTTCTAATGTCACTGCTGGGCACTCTGGGGCCTGAGGGGTTTCTGGAAGAACCATGGCTGAATCCAGGGACACCTGTAAAATTGTTTTATTCAACACTAGCATCCTAAAAAGGGACTTAAATCAGTCACATGTCAAGACAGCCTTTAAAATCAGAAACATAAAAATAAACCCCTACAGACTTGCCTGAAAAGATAGCTCTGAACTCAACATCTCTGAAGTCTAATAAGTGCAATATAAACATCTTTTGAGCAAAGCATACTGCTGAAAAGAATGTTTATTGTGTTACAAAAATCAATGCAATCTGCAGGGACCGAATCAAATAGCTGTACAGCCTACCCTCTGATTCATTTTGCTTTCATGAGTAAGGGATGCTAGGATGAAATGGAATATGCATGTAGCTGGAATGGTTGGGATATACATGGTGAGAAATATAATCACTTTTCTCCCGCTTGGAATCTGACAATGACATATGCTTTACGTTGCTTTCATTAATATATCAAGATGTTTTTGTCACATGGTGAAAACCACTAATTCATAAAAATGCACATTAGATGCCACAACCCCTAAACTAGCAGAGAACCTTTCACTTAGGTATAATTATGAAATACTGCCATCACCCAGTCTTCTGCTGGCATGCAGGATTTGCTATCATCATTCACACATATATTTTTGTGTGAGTTAGACTTGCAGCTCATATTTTCAAAGCATTTGTGTCAGTCTCTGAGCTCTTTTGCTTTAAAGTAAATATATAACTGCATGAAAAAGATTGGCAGTGTCACCAGAAGCATCTCTTTATTCTAAAGTGGAGATGAGTCAAGCAAAAATTAAATTATAATGAAGTAATTCCCATCTTACATGCAACTATGAGCCCCTTAGTTGCTAGGACTGAGGTAGATACCTACTTTTTACAGTGTTTTGAATATTAACTTTTTGAGTTTTTCATATGGGAAATGAGTTGACTGAGTATTGTAAGATCAGTCTTTGCCCTGTGAGGGATATCCATACTAGGGATATGTCTGCAGGAGAAAGCAAGCAAGTCCTGAGAGGGCTCT